GGAACTGTTTTAATGTTATTACCCAGGAACACTCAGGATGACCTCACAGCACCACCGGGAGTGCTGTGTCAGGTCGTGGCACTGCAAAAGGGCCTCAAAGGAGTGGGCGGGGCTTGATCAGTGACTTCACTTCCTGAGCCACAGTTCTCTGGACTCTACACTTGAACTGTGTAAGAAGGTTTCTTAGTTTCTCGATTCTGCTGCCATCATGAGACAGTGGAAAACAGGAAGTGATGTCAGAAAGTGTAACTGTATCTGCTGTGACGACGTGTTATTCCCCTTACCTTTTATTTATTTTAAAATAAAGACTTCAGATTCGCAACAACCTTTAGGTTTTGCTGCTTTTTGGGGTTTTTGTTAGGTGATGTCATGATGATGTCGTCGGTGAAAAATGAGTGAAGATACAAATAGACGTAATCATTTATTGGTTGTTAAATTGTTGGCAGCAGTGTGTTGTTTATGGATGATGTCATTCCTGGTCATGTGATCATCTCAGTCCTGGAGTTGGGAGACACCACGAGGTCCAGAGGCCCCGCCCACAAACCTGCACAGGTTGATAAATGAGAACATGAGCAACAGTTGACACCCTCAGTGATGTAAACATTATTGACAATTACCTGTGTCAGTCTGTTCCTTGCTTACAGTGCCTCCTGTTGGACGGTGTGATCCTCCAGGTCTAGAATCTGCTGGTACTCTGTGATCTCCTGCTCCAATCCCTTCTGGTCCTTCAGCAGACTATAGTGATGTCGACGTTGCTGCTCTATTTCTGCCCGCACGTCGTTCAGCTCGGCGTCCAGTCGGGTCAGCACCGAGCCCAGGTTCTGCAGCTCCATGTTCTGCCAACGACAGGCATCGGCCAGCGAGTTTTCCAGGCCACGTTTCTGGAAGTAGAGAATGGAAGCAGCTCCTTAGGTCAGGGGTGGATCTAAGGCTGACGGCCACACCAACGATGACGACGATGATGAAGATGTCACAGCTCACCAGTGTTCTGATGGACTCCAGCTCCACCTCTAGACTCTGGATCTCACCACTGAACTGCCGACCCTGGCACTTGAGCGCCTCCACCTGCTTCTCCTCTGAACTGCCTGTATAACTTTGCTGCTCCTGCAGGTACACACATTCATGTCAGCAACAGCGGCGTGAAGACGACGCAGGCACACACACACACACACACTCCCTCGCCTGTGACAACTCCCTGTTCGTCTGTGTCAGCTCCTCCCACCCCTCCTGAATCTTCTTTAGGAACTGGTCCAGACCCTGATGGACTAGATCAGCATGTTGTTCCACCTGTGGGCCCCACACCTGACTGTAGAGGGCGCTGGCATCCTGACCAGAAGAAGAATTGAATTGTCACCATCAATAAGAAATGTTCTGACACAGTCTGAGTGCAACAGACAGGAAGTAACTTCTCTTGTGATACGTTCACTCGCCTGCTGGTGGATTTGCTGCAGCTCTTGAAGCTCCGCCCTAAGCCTCTCCAGCTGCTGTTCTAGCTCCGCCCTCGCCAGGTTGGCTTGGTCATTTACTCTGTGAAGTGCATCAAGCTCATCCTGCAGCAACTTCCTGTTTGACTGTTCTCTGTCCAACCTGTTACAGAGGAACATGACTCACCGCTGTGCGTGTGTGCGAGTGTGTGTGTAAGAGAGATGGTGACCTCTGACCTCTGTCTGATGTCCTCAGCATTGGCATGAATGTTCTCCGTCTTCAGTGTCAGACGAGCATTGTCAAGCATTCCGTCAATCACCTGTAGTGAGTTAGCTTCATCAGAGCCGTTATCTTACTGTTAGCCTCTTTGGAGTGGTTAGCTCACTGTTAGCCTCATCAGAGTAGGTAGCTTACTGTTAGCCTCTTTTGAGTGGTTAGCTCACTGTTAGCCTCATTAGAGTAGGTAGGCTAATCAGTGTTCCCATGCACGCTGGAAAACCTGGAAAAAGATTGGTCAATTTTCCAGTCAAATGGAAAATGTTAAAAAAAAGTGAAGGAGTCCTGGACACCATCCTTCTGGAAAATAATACCAGTGCTACTGTTGTCCAAAGATTTACACTCTGCTAATGATTTGCCTCAAAAAAGCGTTACCTAGGAGGATTCTTAAAAAAAAAAAAGAGCCCCTCGAAAACCCAACTCCAAAATCAGGTGTGTCCAGTAGTTGGCGCTGCTTCCTGATTTATTGGCCAGTTTTTGCCTCATCTGTCCATCCAACTTGTCTTACCTATTCGGAGATATTGTCTCACCTGTCTGTAGACATCCTCCCATTCTTTCTTAAGGTTCGTCCAATAGTTGGCGCTGTCCATCTTCTTATCCAGTCTCAGTCTTATTTCATGTTGGACTTCATGGTTTAGGTTCTCCAGCGTCCTCACCTTTTCCCGATATTCCTTCAGACATCGCTCCAGTCCCTGTCCTCTGTCCCAGTTGCGGTTCTTGTCAACAACCAGGGTGGCGCTACTGCGCGTTCCTTGCAGAAAGACGCTGCTGATACCAAGAGCACGCCGACACATCCGTGTACCTGGACTGTGTCCCATTTTCACAAGGGAGCCATAGCCTAAGGGTACACTGTGGGGGGCAATGATACTTCGCCCCCCAAAGGATGAGACTGGAAGTTCATGGGATGTTTGTCTTGAGAACGACGAGCAGCGGCGAGAAAGAGGCATGACTGCTGAGAGCGGGGGTGAAGCAGAGGCTGAATTTATGGACAGAAAGAAGGGGCGTGGCTTCAGGAGACACACCCACATATATATTATGAGGAAAGGTGGCGCCTCTGGAAATAGAGCCTGCTTTGTGCCGTGTGGTGGAGGGGTGCGCAGCGGGTGGTGGACCTCATCAATTCAGCCG